CACAGAACTAGGCACCCGGACTTGCATCCTTGGAGCACATCACGTATCTTAGTTTTTGCTGTCTGCAAAATGGGGGTTATGCTGCTTCCCCAGCTTCAGGGGCATTGGTGTATTAATAAAGCACCAGGTATGTGCAAAGGATGATCACCTTCTCACCAGCTGCAGTGAAAGGCTTTCTCTTAGCCCCGAATCAGATCCAGCATTATTAAGCACTTCCCTCCATAACACCCCACTGCCAGCATCGGTGGAGACTCAGGATCTGGCTAACTGTTCAGAGTGAGTCTGGAAAGCTTCAAATGCAGGGGAGCCAGCCAGCTCCCAACTAGCAGACACACAATATAGACACACCCTCTGCTGCTAAAATCTCCCTTGTTTGCTGCCCCTGGCCCTCCACCCCGACCCCAGTGCTAAGAAAGATGCACCCAGCGTCCGTTTCAAACCTCTGGTTCCTTGCTCTCAGGTAAGCCATGAGAATAGCCGAGTGCACTGCTCCATGTGAACAGGCCTATCCCACACTCTCCCACCTAGGATGGGACCAAAGTAAAAAAAATATGAAGCCCTTTGAGACTCCCATGGAGTATTCCTTGAGCTGGGGCTGCCGCCAGCACCCCCCTTTCCAGGAAGCCGCCGATCACATCACCTCTCTGGAGACCAAGGAGTCCATATGACACCTGAAGGGATCCCAGAGGGAGAGGTGGGTCAGGTGTTTGTCAGTCATCTCCTAACAATAGGAAGAGAAAGAGCCCCCATTCCAGCTGGCCACCTGTGCCAGCGTCGCCTCCCACAGCAGGGTCCCCCGTCAGGGCTGGCTACAGAGCTGCGGCTTGCAAAATGTCATCACTTTGCTTTGCTGGGCACAGCAGGTGGCACAGAAGCCGTGCCACTTTAGTGCACCAGGGAAATGCTGCTCCCCCCATCACCCACAGACACCTCAGGACCTAGCATTTCTGCCAAGAAACCAAGCTACGGCTGCCAATCCTGGCCCCCAGTGCCTTGGTCTGTTTGTACTTGGAGGGCCTGGTGAGTGGTGCCCTCTGCTTGTCACTCTGTCAGGCAAGGAGGATCCACTACTCTCAGCCTGGGTAGCCCTTGGAAGGGTGAGCTGCTCTGACTGGGATGCCCTCTGCTCACTGGATGTGTCCCCCCTCAGCCTGAGTCCTCCCTCTCAGCCCCTTGTGCCCACTATGCCTACCCAGGCAGGCTAGGGAGATGCTGGCTTGAGGGTGGGATCATGCATGTGGTATAAGCCGCTCTCCTCATCCTCAGGCACCTGCAGAGAGAGCAAAACTTCCATCAGACCCTGGTGTCCTTCCATGATTTTATCACTAGAGTCATCCCAGGCATAGGGGAGCAGCCTGTAAGAAGGCTGAGGAGGAGGTCTACAATGACACCTTCATCCTGCAGACAACAGTGCCACCTTGTGACATACCTTGGGTGATACACAACATGTTGCCCAAGCTGTTTTCAGAGATCAGCCCCCAAGCCCCTCCACCAAGATCTGAAGTTGTGAGCCCCAGCTGCATGGACACCAAATCCCAAACTCTGGTCAGCCAAGGACACTGCTGGAGAGCCCCCTGTCAGAGCCACAAGGACTGTGCCCTGGTGCTCACCTCCCAGTAAACGTCATCCTCAAAGCAGTTCTCATCTGCCGCGTCTCCCCAGATTGGCAGTTTCAGGATGCCCCCTGGAAGCAACAAAGCTGAGTGAAGTGCTCCTGTCACTAAGAACTAAACCATAGCAGGGGTATGACTGAGCCAGCACTGTGCGCCTAGGGACAGGCCGTGCCTCTCCCTCCATCCAGGGTTAGTTTCAGCTCATTCAGCCCTGGCCTCTTCTATTCTCCTTGCCTTGCAAACCAGAAGCATCTTGTTTGTGGCATCATTGTTTCTTAATGAACATCACTTTGCAAGCAGGGAAGCACTTAAAAAGACCATTTCTAGAGCCTGTGCTGCATTATAGCAATATAGGTGATTCTATGGGAAGAAGCTGGGGAAGGACTATTTCCTTGCTTATTATTTGTGACATTTGTGCAGATGTTGGGAATGGAGAAGCACTCCCTCAATCTTAAACCAGCTGCTACCTGAGTGGATCTACAAGAAAACTGTCCTCATAGAAGGGATGGTTTGAGCTAGGATGTCTGCTGTACCCTGGCTGCCCCCGAGGTGGCAGCAGGGAAACACCAAGTGGGAAGATGAAGCTCATCTGATTTCTACAGTTTCTGCAGCCAATTGGAGGCAGGAAAAAAAAGAAGCTGAGACCTGTCCTGTAGCCCAGTGCTGAACTGACTCAACCCCAACTCACCTGCCAACTGACTTGGACTGTGAGCTGCCCCATACCCTTCTACTCACCCACAATGGCCCCCCCAGCAAAGGCCATGGCCAGAGACACAAAGATGCCAGCTGCCTGGTACCCTCCTTGCACCATGGGTGTCCGATTCGCGTAGTCACCAGTGAAGTCAAAGGTTTTGACGAGCCTAGGAGGAACAGAATTGATGAGAAGTGTTTCCAGAGACCTTCCCCTGAGGTGGGGGAGGCAGGAGACCTGCGTCCTCTTGCCTTTGAAGTCACCTGGGCAGCAATGAAGGGACACGCCTGTGTCAGAGAACAGGGGGACTGCAGTGACAGCCAGGCTTCTGGGCATTTGTTCCTTCCCTTTTAGTCCTCTACTGGTTTGGGCTTGGACCAGACTCAGAATGGGAAGAGGTTTTAAAGCAGTGCGACCCAGGTTGGATTCCAGACCCTTTGGATTTGACTTGGGAGTCTGCCCCAGAAAGGCAAGCAAGAGGATGAAACCAGCTGCCCTCTGAGATCTGGATTAAAGGCAGCATTTGGAGTTAGGGAGCTCCCAACGAGACAACTCAGGGGTCAGCTGGAGGAGACCAAATGAACAAACATGACCAGCAGTGCCCTGGGTAGTGACAGGTATGCAGGGCACAGCTGTAGCTACTAATTTCTCACTCCCTTTGCTCCCAACTAGCTCCTCTTCCTCACCAGTCCCTCTGTCACCCCATCCCCACAACAGTTTTGAGCCTTCTTACCCTTCTGATCCATATACACTCTTAGTGGCTGCAGCTGCAGTGATGGCTCCCACAATGCCCCCAATAATCCCTGGCATGCCATGCAGGTTGTGGATGCCACAGGTGTCCTGGATATGCAGCCTGGACTCCAGGAATGGCTGGCAGGGAGGGAGGAAGAGAGAGATTATTTATATCTCTATGGGCTCTGATAAGAGATTTTTCTGGAGGGATTCCCCTCCAGAAAAAATCAGGAGAGGTGAGAAGACAGGAAGCAGAGATGAAGGAGAGGTAGGTTGTATTTAAGTTGCCATTTAACAATAAAAGTTCAAAGTAAAGGTGAAATGGCAAGGTGTGCTTGGCAGACATACCACTCTCTCTTCCCAGATTGGAAGGGACCTAGGGCCATGTCCCTGTGTTTGAGACACCTATTCCTGGCAGAGCTAAGCTGCCAGATCCCTGCTGGATTATAAGTAGTCAAACATGCATCATCCAAAGGGCCCTGAAGTTGTTTAGAAGGCAAGAGCAGAAATGCCAACAAAAGAAGTGGCTCCACTTCTTGCCTACAGGAAGCAACTGGTGGGGGAAAAGGGAAGTATAAAACCCATGCACAGAAACTACTTGAATTCAGTAGCTTAAAGAACTCTGCAGGAAAGCAGAAATGGAGGGATGAAGAAAGCCAGTGAGAGTGGAGCAGTGTGAGGAAGAACTTCAACACAACTATGAAAGAGAGAGCTGGGCAACCCTAGGCTGACCCAACTAAGGCCATGGGCCCTGGAATGGAGGTGCACAGCTTGTGGCCCAAACTGGGAGCAAGGGAGCTAGCTGTGCACTGACGGGTCAGCATTAGAAAGCAGAAAAATCTGCCCCTGATTCTTCCAGGGTTAAATTTACCCTTGTTGGGTGAGGCTACACAGCTTTTAGAGGTCAGCTTATGTGTTTGCAGCCTTTTGGGGGTTTTTTGTTTTTTGTAAGTCAGGACAGCTTAACACATCCTGAGTTAACCTGTTCACACGGTTTAAAGATGCCACACTGAAACAGCTCTGAGCAGCACTTACCGTGAGGTAGACATACCCGACGGTGGACACGATGCCACAGATGAATCCAACGATGAGGGAACCATATGGAGGCAGCATCATCTCAGCACTGGTGCCCACTGCTACACCACCGGCCAGTGTTGCATTCTGGATATGAACCTACACAAGCAGAATACACGTCTCATTGCCTCAGCTCTAAGATAATAGTGTCTGAAGCTATGTTGAACCAATCCAAAGCCGGGCGGGGTGTGTGGAGCAGGACACCTGGCTGTGACAGTGTTCACAAATAAAAAATCTGGGCCCATTTTACTGGTCAGTAGCATTTACTCCCTGCTCCTGGCAAGTCCCTGCTCCTGAATATGCTCTGAAATAGACAGTGTCCACTCCTGATTAAGAGGAAACTAAAGGTGAAGTGTCAAGAGCTGAGAACATCCCGGTTGCTGCCCAGCTACTAGCCTTAGTCTGCACTGGGACAAATACTATCTTAGCTGGGCCCTGCTTTAGCCATAAACATACCACTTTGTGGCCCTGCTCTCACAAACCCACCACCACATGAGTGTGTGTGCTCTCTTTCTCCCTCATAGACACACGTACACACACATAATGCTGTAAGGTCCTGGCTCTCACATAGGTCTGCCCTTGTAGGGATCTATGTGGGGAAGCTCTGTCCCCTATCAGGAGGCTGTTCACACTCCTCTGCTGGCTTATGCCTCTACTCCTTGAAATGCCAATGTTTTCATGGCCCTGCTGTATCACCAAACACACAAGTAATCCCTCAGCTCCACTCCTTTCCCACTCTGGTTTTAATACTGAAGGTTTGCTAAATTACAAACTCTACTGCCATGGTGGTAGCCCCCCAAATGACTCTTGTACCAGGAGCTTTGGGCATTAGGGGCCTTGTCTTTTCAATACCCCATGAAATGCATTACTTCTCAGCACAGGAAAACACACCTGTCTGTCTGCTTCCTCCATCATCTACAGAATCATAGAAAAATACAACTGGAAGGGACCTCAGGAGGTCACCTAGTCCAACCCCCTGCCCAAGGTAGGATCATCCCTATCTAAACCATCCCAGACATTTATCTAACCTTCACTTAAACCTTCCCAGGATGCAGATTCCACAGCTGATCTAGGCAATCTACTTCAGAGCTCAACTCCTGGTTAGATATTTTTTCTTAATATCCAGCCTAAATCTCCTTTTTTTAAGCCCATTATTTCTTCTCCTGTCACTTGCAACCAGAGTGAACAACAGATCCACCTTTTATAACAACTCTTTTTATATTGGAAGATTTAAATCAAATCTCCCCATAGTCTTCTCTTCTCCAGATCAAATAATCCCAATTCTTCCAACCTCTTTTCACAGGTCATGTTTTCAAGACCTCTAATCATGTTCATTGCTCTCCTCTGGACTCTTTCCAGTTTATCCACATCCCTCTTGGAGTGTGGTGCCAGGAATCCTCCTGCCACCACAATGCAGCAGGCATCTCAAGCCCTCACTTACCATGTCAAGCTTGCCTTTCTTCTCTAGCATGCTGGAGAAGGCCACTGTGGTGAGGACACAGGCTGCCAGGGAGCAGTAGGTGTTAATGGCAGCTCTGTGCTGTGCATCCCCATGATTGGACACAGCTGAGTTAAAACTGGGCCAGTACATCCACAAGAAAATGGTACCTGGGAAAGGAAGGGCAAGAGCAGGAAGGTGCAGGGAAAGGACAGAAGAGAAGAAGGGAACAACAAAGGGGTAGGAGGGTAAAAAGAGAGCAAAGGAGATGGTGATTATATGCAGAGGAAGGCTCAAGCCCCTAGCCCCAGATTCCTGGCTCCACCTCCATGGTCATACCTTACCTCTTACTAAAGTGCTCAGACCAGGAACTCTTAGCTGCAATGAGACCTCTCAGGCATCAGCTCTAGCCCACCACCCCAGCCACAGACTGAGAGTACAACTTAGTGCTTAGTGGGCATGTCAACATGTGCACATTTACTGTGCAGTAACTGAAATTACTGAACAATATGGGCGTGTGTCTGCATGTGCACACCCATACTGTGCAGTAAATATTGTGACTTACATCAATGTGAGCGTAAATTTGATACCAGCATCATATAGGTATCAAATTTACACCCGATTAGTAACTGCGCAGTAACATGTGTGTAGATGCCTTACTATGCAATAACATTGTGTGTGGACTGATTTGGGACTAAATTTAGTCCTAAGTCAGTTCACACCCAGTGTTAATGCTCTTTAACACCTGCATGTGTAGACTTCAGCCTATTCCCACTTAGTGCACAGTAAACTTAAGCCGGTGTAAACGCACATGTAGACACGCTCAGTGAGCAGGGAATGGAATAACAAGTTCTTCCCCACTAGGGCACCACGCTGGCCTTACACTGCTTGCAGGCACAGAAGGCTTCTTCCCCACCTTTCAGGATGTCTCTGAGCCCACTGCTAACTCACCAATCATAGCGAAGATGTCTGAGTGGTACACAGAGCCCTGCTTGTCTTTGCTCTGTTCCAGGTTGGGTCGGTACAGAATTCTGGTGACAGTCAGCCCAAAATAAGCCCCAAAGGTATGAATGGTCATGGATCCTCCAGCATCTATAACCTGCAGCCACAGAGAGAAATTCACATCTGAGAAGTAGTCTGTCTGATTGGCCAACTAGCCCTCTGTCCTTCCCGCCTGTGCTTGGCCACTGGGGGATGGGAACAGAAATGTTCCTTATCCTGCTCGCTAAATATGACAGCCACATCCTCCCTATCAGAAGGCAGCAAACCAAAGGGGAATATTTGATCTTTCCATGGTACTGTCCCACAATGGCAACCCTAAATGCAGAATAACCCCGAGGCGCTGGCTTGAGCCTAGGCAGCTAATGGAAAAACACAGGATGTGACTCATATACACAGTGGATGGCTTCTTAGACTCTGGGGGCCTTCTAGCATAGAGACAGTCAGAACCCCAGGCCCGGATCCCTCCCTTATAAACTGTGGAGGGTGCTCAGATATTGGATCCAAAACTCATAGCTGGTCCTTACCTCCAGAAGGGCTGTTAGATCCTAGCTCCCATCACCTCAGAGCTCAGGGGAGATTGGGACATAGCTCTGAGCTTTGTGGTTCCAGACCACCCTGAATAACAAGCTCTAGTTGTCTCTTTGTAGCTCTCTACTCCCCCGCCCCTTCCCCCACCCCTCCAATCTCTCCCTCTTCAATACTGCTGCCTCATGCTCTTGGGGTTTTTTTGCTTTCGTTCCTTCCTTTTCTTCTGTCTCAGGATTCACATGCAGCTGCTGAAATTCTCTGTCTGAGAAAGGGAGCTTTCTGAAGGCATTCTCCCTGGCTGAGTTCATTGCTATCAAGAGGATGAAATATAGGGATAGAAGTAATGGGCAGTCACCCAGAATGTAAAGGGCTGAACTGTCATCCCTACACACACAAACCCCTCTCTGGACCCTTCTATGATTCACTAATGAGGCTGGAGGGAGCTTCAGAGATGGGATTTTAAGGGGATACAGTTGAATTAGTCGTCACAAAGAAACAGAAGTTCCCTTCCTTGCTTATGGGCATGTCTACACGTGCTTTTAAGTGCAACTAATCTTAATACGTATTTGTCTAATGAGCATTAAGGTGATTTAGGTAGGTGTCTACATGTGCTTGTGCTAAGGCACATTAATGTGGTGTGCAGACTGGACTGACTTGGAACTAAAGTTAGTCCCAAGTCAGTCAATATACACAGCAGTAATGTACCTTAACATGTCTACATGTGCATTAAGGTGCTTTATCTATCCACGCATAAATTTGATACCTACATTTGCAGGTATCAAATTTAGGCACAAATAGCCTAAAATCACCATCTTTAAGGTGCATTAAGGGCACACACATATAGACCACACCCTTAATGAGCCTTTAAAATAGCTAATGCACCTTAAATTGGCACATGTAGACACACCCTATAAGCACAATCTTCCTCTCACTACTGGTAGTAATAGTAACACCTTGATGAGCAGCCTTAAATAATCTACTTTCCCTGCCCTGGGTGTTTAGTTTCTCACTACCATTCAGCTGAGCAGGGCAGTCTCACTTCTTGTCCTCCTCTGGATACTCCTGTGCCTTTGTATTCCCAGCACTTGGGGATTTAAGTCACTCAAACTGTGTGCTGGCACTTACTTTAGGTACCATGAAACTGATTTCCTTCATTGGAGGTTTTGTGCCCCTGTCCCCATACCAGACCAGACCCTACTTGCACTTTTTGTGAAAGGGTTTCCCATCCAGACCAGTTCTCTCTTGCCAATAGACTGAGACCCCCCTCACATTGCAAGGAGCCTCTGTGCTCCTTTAACAGACACCTCTCCTACTTTACATCCTGCTCTGATTTTTTTTCAGCAGCAGGTAAAGATAAGAGGAAAATCTCATGGAGGTGTAAAGACAGCAGCAGGCCCTCTGTGTGCAAACTCCCTATTTGCCTTAGGAAAGCCCCACAAGATGGCACCTCATTCTCTTTAGTCACTACCACTGCTTCTAAAACTCTCAGAGATATAAAGCTGGCCGTAAAACAAAGGGAGTGGCCCAAGCTGTTTTATTCATTTTGCTCTGAATTTGAGTGGGTTGATTTTCAAATTGCTTATAAGAGCAAAGAGTTAATGGATCTGGCTTGAGTCAGACACACTGAATAATATGCTACACACAGCTGTGCTGGGCACTGCTACCCCTGAACTGAGCTGCCCTCACCACAGCTCTGCTGGTGCCCCTCATATCTGGCCTCTAGCCCTTGTGCTATTATGCTATGTTTGCTTTACTGGAGAGGAAGGGCAGGAATAGCCCTGAAGCCTTACGTGAAGCAAGTTGAGGAGGATGTACTCGTTCACAGAAAAGAGAGTCACTTGAAACAAAGTCATAATGAGCAGCTGCACGGGGCTGCTCTTGCCCAGGATGGCCCCAAAGGCAACGCAGACAGAACCCACACAGAAATCTGCATTGATCAGGCTGAAAGGGGAAAGAAAACAAGCTGAAGGTTAGTCATGGAAATCCTAGTCCCCTACTCTCATACACACACCTACACTCCCTAGAAAGTTTCCATATTACCAGAACAGAGAAGTGAAGTTGAGCCCAACTTGTGTTTCCCTTGGTCCTTCCCTGAATGGTTTCCTGGACCAGGTCCATTCATGAGAAGGGCTGGAGTCTGCAACATATCTTCAATCCCCTCCTGTAGGGCTGAGGATGAAGTAAGTTATGGGTCTCTTGTCACTGGTTCCCTTGGAAGAGTCCCATTGTGAAGATAAGAGCCCCTGAGCCCTTAGCAAGTATAAAAGGGCGCAGTGAAGTTTTATCAAGTTTAGGGTTTTTTTCCTCCAAACTGCTTTGAGCAATGGAAGTCCCAGCACTGAGAATTCATGGGCTTGGAGAGTTAGAACTTTGCTAGGGATCTGCCAATCTAACCACTCAGCAGTACTCCCAAAAATGCAAACTATTGCTGGGGTGAAAACCAACCAGGGATGCACAGTGTCTTGCAGAGCACCAGAGGTGAAGAGAGCTTCAGGCCAAAGACTGTTTCTTGTGGCATGTGCTCTCTAGAGTCTTTGATGGCCATGCAAGAAAGAAAGATGGGACATACTCTGCTTATCACTTTCTCTCTACCCAGTGCAGGCGCAGAAGGTCCTTGCTGCTTTTTCCCACCTGGGTATCTCCCATGTCGCTGTCTAATCAAGAGATGGCTTTCCCCAATACAAATCCCTTCTCTTACTTTTCTACTCCGATGAGTATCTTTCCATCCTTGAAAGAATGGAACCAGCCCTGCATCAGGATTGCCCACTGGATCCCAAACGAGGCCAGGAGGAAGTTGAACCCAACAGCTCCAAAGCCATAGCGCTGAAGGAATGTCATTAGGAAGCCGAAACCAATAAAGATCATCACGTGGACATCCTGGAAAGCTGTGCCAAGGAAAGGAAATTCATCATGATCACTGTGGGAGGGAGGGTGGACACAAGAGAAGAGGGTGGCAGCAAAAGGCTTCAATGGTCAGCTATTTTGAGGGAAATTTTGAAAAGAAGTCAGATTTATTTTCAAATTTTTTTCTCAGACAACTTTAAATCTGAAACTGAAAACTTTTTTATTTTCAGAAATCCTTTCCTGAAGTTGTTGGTTTTCAGTAAAACATCTTCTGGTAAAAATGACTGAACTTAGTTGTATAAAAATCTTTAAAGAAAAATCTTATAAAAATATATCCCCAAACCAAAAAATATATATATACCAGAAGCACTTAGCAACACATTTCTAGTTTTCTGTGTCTATTTTGGTTGTGAAAACCCAGACAGTTATGACTAAAATGAACATTTTTTATGTTAAGTTTTGCATCGCTTACAAACCCCTTTTTATGGGAAGTAAAAAAATGAAAACCTCTCTCTCTACTTCTGCTCCACAAACATGTTTATGCTGGTTCAGAACCCAACACCTATGATTCTTCTTCTTCCTGCTCTGGGAGATAACCGTTCCTTAATCTCAAGTAAAAGTCAGTCTTAGTGAATGTCTATGGCTGCTCTGCTGGACACTTGTATGAACTAAGCCTGCTGCTCAGTAGATGGCCGTTCCCTGGGGGCAGCTACTTTCACAGGGGAAACGAGCCTCTTGAGAGGAATTCGTGATGCGATAAACCCAGGGTGAATGTTAATGTTGCTTGTTTCTTTCAGATAGCAATCAGCCCCCACCGTCGGTTATACATTAAACCATGACAACCGCTTGTGCAGAGGCCCCTTGACCATAGAGAGAATAGGAGATGGGACGTGGGCCCCTCCACCAGTTCCCTAGGGGAATCCTACAAGAAAATCAACATTCATTGCACTCTGCATCCATGAATGGGTAAACATTCTGCATTGCACAGATATTTTGGGAGCATTTGCTTGAGGCACATAGGCAAAACATTACACAGAAGGCCAGAACACTTGTGGTTTAAATGCTGCAGCACTGTCTACTTGTCTTATAGAGCATGCTAGCTCCCAAAAAATAATTGTGGTGCTTCATGTTGTGGAACCTGGCCTAGGATCTACCACATCTACTGGCTTTTTTTACCTTCTTGCCAGCTCTCAGGGAGAGGCCAGCCACGCTACATGCATTGTCATGGCTAGTTTATGCCTAGTGAATATACACATCTTGTGAGCTGTGGAAAGATGATCCAAGTCAGCTCTCACTGAGATCAGTGGGATTATTTCCATTGCCTTCAGTGGGAGTTGGATCTGGTCTTGAATAAGGCATCGCTCTGCAGGACTTCTTCTTTTGGTCCTTGAGCACTTTACAAGCATTGTCCAGGTGCCTGGGGAAGGGTGACTGGGTGAAACCTTATCACATGGTGCCAGACTGTGGACTTTTCATTTTTTCTTGAAAGAAAATATAATGTCATCAAAATTAGTAAGGAGTCCAGAGCTGCAGGTGGTAAAACCAGTATGTTTCCTTTCTCTTCAACACAGCTCTGCCGGTTTTTACCAGCTGACAGTCCCATCCATGTACATCTGAAGTATCCAGCTGCAAGCACCCAGTTTTATGACAAAGATGCACCAATTTCTGCTCTCACTAGTTAGCTACACTTCTTCTCCAACACAAGCATTAATTATGATATCAGAAGGTCTGCTGCCAATTCAATAACAGATCAACTGACATTTTCCATTTTGGAGAAAATAATATGTACCAAAATCAAGATCTCAAGCAATAATATGGCAAAAATCATAGCATCATAGAGAAGTAGAGCTGGAAGGGACCTCCATGAGTCATCTAGGCACAAGACTCTCAATTCAGAGATTGTGTTATTGGGAGGAGATAATTATATTTGTCATGGCTGGGAAACCCAGTCATGGGCCAGATACTGTGTGAACACAGGCTGGAACATGCAAGTAGTCCTTGCCCCAAAGATCTCACAAGCAAAGAGCTTTGTACTTTGTTCGCATTAGAGATGAACAACTTGTTTGTGTCTCCTGCGGGCACAGCAGGAGCAGTGATGCCATGAAGTCTACATTACTTTGCTGTTTAAGAACTTGGGTTCTGTGGGAGGTAAGTATCTTTTTCTCATTAAGCAACCAGGACTGGTTATTGACAGGATGTGTTTGGGCTTTGGGATTTCTGTCTAGGCTGAAGAATCTTTCATCTCATTCCCCTTGAGAGCAGATGATTTGCCCTCCAGGGAATGTCACCATCTGATTTTAAATTAAAGATTTTTTTTGTGCTGCTAAACAGGACTGAATAGACAGCTCAGGGTACAGACTTCCTCAGAATAGTTACATCCTCAGAATCTGCTTCTCCAGGCTCAGGTTTCATAACTACCATGAAGGGATCATTGTTAGGGCCAAGAGAGAGATTCAGTTTCCCAGGCATGTTCACCCTCTGCTTGCTCCTATCCTGTTAATACCTTCCACTGTTACACAGCCAAGGTCACTTCCATGGGCACTGGCAGTGACAGGGGCATTTGTATAAATGATTCCTTGATGTTCTGACCACTTCAACCTGCTCCAGTTAATGTCTGATGGCACCATGGTAAAAATGCCAGTGCTCAGTCCCCACTAGTTTTCCCATCATTGCCAGGAAGACATTAGCAAATAGCTCAGAGCAGACATAACCTTAGATTAACAGGGCATCCAGTTGATCTGAAGGCTTCTGTGAGTAAATCCTCCTCTGAAAAGCCTAATACTTTGATACAACTGGACTGTTCTTATAAGTTCCCTCGCTTTAAACTATAGTACACTATATTTGTAAAGGAAATCTTCTGTATACTGTAGAATAGTGACTCAGCCCCTGATTCAGTCTTAGAAACAATCATCCCTCGATGAACAGACTTTTCTAAACCACAACTAAGTAGGACGACAGGTACTGTGGAGCAACTCCAGCCACGTGGATCTGTCAGTCATAATGAAAGCCATAAAAGTTTTTGCTCATTGAATAATCCCTGTAGAAACATGAGGAAATGTCCCAGACATGTTGGCAAGCTGCTGGGAGCCAGGAAGTACTGTCATTGGGTGTGGATCAGTTTTTCCCCCGGGAAGCTAGATCCTTTCATCTGAGAATGGGAAGTATTGCCTATCCTGAAACAAGGTGAGGCCAGAAAGTGATAGTCAGTGACCTAGCCTTCACCTTCAGGACAAATCCAGTTTATAACCTGTTGAAGTCAACTGAACAGTCTCAGCCATTCACTCATTCCCTAGCAGGCACTTGCTCACCACTCAACACTCTGGGTATGTCTGTTTGCTTCCCTAGTACTCCTGGGGAAGCTGTTTTTGAGTACAACCCACCCACCTGTTCCCACACTACACATGCCATACCCTGACTTGAGGGAGCAAAACTGGCCTGAGAGCCCCACACCCACATTGGAGATTTCTGTTTCTGGTGTCGTTAAGGGCTGTGGCCATGGGAGTTTGTCCTCAGCATGGTTTCCTTGCCTGTCTTTGAGGTTTGGTGGATATGGAGTGAGAGTGGTACCCTTGAGAAATGGTGGAGATGTATGGAGCCTTGAGTTTACAGCTCCCATTAACTTAGTGAGACTCTGCGTGAGCTCTTGGAGAGGTGGAAGAACACAACCTAGGGAGGAAACAGTACTCTGAGAGCACTTCTGTAGCTTGAGCCTGTTGGGAACAGGCGGGACTGATTTCTGGAAGCTCCAAGGTCAACTGCAGAGGTCACTACATTTCCTGCAGGTATAAAGAAAAAAATTGCAGCAAATTGTCCTGCAGAAGACAGGGTAGATATAGGGTATGTACTGCACCATCCCCTGGGCAGAAGCTGAACAGCTCCAGGGGGCAGAGATACTGTGGAGCTGAGAAAGCTTCCTGCAGTTGAAAATGGGAGAGGGCTGGGATTTTGGATGCTGGGGAACTTAATCCTACACCTCTGCAACATATGGAAATCCTGTGGTGCTCACGTTATCTAACAGTATCTCACACTGCAACATTCTGGCTTCCCAGGTGATATGCCGGAGTGCCTCAGGTCCTCTCACATCCGTTTGCTTAAATGCCAGCCTCATCGTCAGGAGAAAGGGCATTGTGGCTGGCTGTCCCACTGGTCTTGTGCTAAACAATGCAGGGTGGCTCCTCCTTCTCTCAGAGTGACCTGCTGTCCTGGCCCCTTGCTATACTCTGTCCTCCCAGTGGAATTTCCTACCAGTGGAACTGGCGTGAGTCGGCTTCTTCTGGTTACCCGTGTTACTGCTGGTCCTTTTAGGCATGCACCTGCACATGTCTGCCTCTGCCCTCCATGCACCACATCTGTTTTTTCCCAGAGGGCTGACTCCTAACACAGCTCTCTGGGCTATAGGAGGTCTGAGTTCTCCCCTTGTTGAGTGACTTAAAGACTGCTGTCTGCAATACTTGGAGGTCAGTGTTCAGTTCCACAGTTCCTTCTCACTCTTCCCCAATGAGATGTATACCCCCACTTCTAGCTGCCTCCCCTGAAGCTCTACCACCACTGGCCATATCACAGCATGGGGCATGCTTGCTGGATGGTATTTGCCACATTCTTCCCTGGGACACAACTAGGTGGGACCTCACAGGAAATTAGCCTCATGCACCTAGTGCTGGGGTTCATGGAGGATGTGGATGTCTCACCCCCACAGCACTTGATGAAGTGAGCTTAACTTCACAAAAACTTATGCTATACATCTCTGATTCAGTTAGTCTATAAGGTTAAATCTACCCTGTCTTCTGCCTCACTCCACTCCACCATCCTTGAATGCCAGCTAAATTCAGAACAGCTGAGACCTTCTCCCATGCTTCTGGGCTTTGCTAGTTGCCCCCTTCCATCCCTTCTATGACATGTTTCAGGATGTTTTTAAGCCTCCCTCAGAGGCATTGGGTGTTGGCTACAACCAACGCTGGGGACTTTGACTGGGTGTGCTAATGCTCCTGCTGGGACCCAAGCTGGAGGTTCCTGGCTAGAGGGTCTTGACTCTTCACTCAGGATCTGATGGTTCGCCTTATTTGGGGTCAGGAAGGAATTTTACCCCCGGGTCAGATTGATAGTGACTGTGGGGAATTTTGCCTTCCTCTGTAGCAGGGAGCATGGATCTCTTGAGCATATATTGACAACATTTTATAGAAGCAGGATGTCGACTGCCACGGTTCCCTACTTTACCTGTGACAGGTTAAGGTGTTAGGTCTGTGTTGTGTCAGGGTTGAGGGTAGTCTTATGTAGAGTTTAGATTATGGATTGTACAGGTTGGTTTGGATAGGAATGGTCCTGCCTTGGGCAGGAGGTTGGATGAGATGACCTCTGGAGGTCCCTTACACATGCATATTAATGTGATACAATAAACTCCAGCACAAATGTTTCCTGCCTTTGCATTTTGAATAGTTGATCATCCTATCTCACACCTTTCCTGCCCTCACTCTGGTTTTCCACCCCCAACAGCTTATCAGATTTCCATCTGCACTCAGCCTGGGATGCCCACTTATGCTACTGCTCAAAATGTTAAACTAGCACTTAGAGGGTTAATAAGCCAGAATACATACTTGCAGGAGTGAAACAGCTCGAGTTCCCATAGACTACAATGGCTTGGTACAAGAAATAAGTGGTTGTGGTGTGTGCTAGTCCCCAGCTGTTTAATTAGCCAGAATCTGCTCTGAGTGAGCTGCCCGCTGCTTCGGAACAGACACTGTTTGTGAATGCTGCTGAGACTGACCCGTGCTTGTAGCTAGCACTTGCATTTCAGCAAATGAAGCATTGGTTCTGAAAGCTCCAGTGAAGGTGCTAAATACAAAGACAGCCCCTCCGCGCGATTCTTCCCACCTGCCTGAGTGACTGGGGAGGGCCTGGGGAGGTGGAAGGAACAGCTCACATGTGAGTCATATATCACATCTGAGATACCATTGCCCCGTCTCCGGCCCTGGTCAGTCACCTCCCTTAACCTGTCTTGCTGCCCTGCATGAATCAGCCTGTCTGCATATCTTTGATTCATCCCTGGATGGGATACAACTTCCTTGTGGCACCAGCTTTGTAGGCATCTGGTATCAGATGCTGGCTACTGCTTGCCAAGAGTGCTGGCCTCTCCCTTAAGCTTTTTATTGTACTACTTTCTGAGAAAAATACCTGTCACGGGGCCAGTGGCAGAGGATGGTCCTGAAAGCTGGTGTGGGGGGAGAGGGTGACTCCTCCTACCAGAGGGATAAAAGGCAATTGTGGCTGGAGAGGGAAGATCTGGTGCTATTTTTACATTCCCCACCCCAGTCCACCCTCTCAAGGGAGAACATTCTTGCATACTGTCAAGCCATTCCTATGAACATACAGAGTGTGGAAGTCTGGTCTGCAGGTTAGTGAGCTGCTTCTGAGCCTATCTTCATGCAGGACGTATGTGGCAGAGGGGTGCTGAATGTGGAGAAAGAGGGCAGAGAATCCAGGTGTTTGTTTCTCTCTATAAACAGAAGCCTTTTCTCTAACCCCAGCCTAAGAGAGGAGGCAGCAAACAGATACCATCAGGATTCTGGAATCATTGAGATCCTCTTCCTGGAGAGAAAAAGAAGTATATTGCTGGTGTGGAGCTCAGCAACTAGTGCCTGAAAAGCATGTAAGAGGGTTCACACCCTTTATTTTGGTGTTATTCAACCCTGCCAGGAGGAGAGCTCTGCTCTTAAGGAGTATGTGACCTGATGACACCGAGGAAGTCGCTGACAGGATCAGCAGCAGTGGCAGTGACAGTGACATCAACAACAAAAAGGACGGGGAATGAACTGAGATTTTAAAACCTAAAAGGGTTTTTTTGGACCAAGGGACTACAATTGAATTAGGGAAGGGTAGTGGATGGGGGCGCAGGGCCCCAGGGGAATGGGTGTGTTTATTGTAACGCATGCGCAGTTCTTCTTGTGTGATGAAAGGTTTGTGATAAAGAGTCATCTCTTGACCACCAAGGTGGTTTTCCTACTGGCAGAGGAAAACCACAAATGTGGCAGGGGTAGTACCTTCAGCAAGGTAATGCATAGTGAGCTTCCCACTTTCACTTCCAGTGGGAAGATCTCGGCTATATGCTGACTGTATGGAAACGGGAAACTCCTCCCTAGCTTGCTTCTGCAGCCATACAGCTGAGGGCAAGTGAAACTCAGGGGCAATCGAACCCTGGGCCTGCACTTAGGATGCCTACCAAAGGATTTGGAAGTATCTGAAGCCCAGGTAGGGGTGGAGGGTGCTTGCCAGTAGCAGGGATATATATGGTTCTTGAATGATTCACATGGATTTGGAATTGATTTGGCTGATTTGAGTTGGGACACAAGAAATTTTCCTTTAAAAAAAAAAAAGAGTCATCTCTGACAGGTGGGAGGGAACTGATTCCAGAGACAGGGAGATCACTCCAACTTTCCTTTTGAAGCGGTTGTGGGATTTTGAAAAGTAAGAGCTGGAGTACTTTGAAAAGTAAGAGCTGGTGTGCTGTATCCTGAGAAGGATTTGAATAGCAGAAGCAGACATGTTCTGCTTGAAAACATGCTGCCCACCAACACCCTTCCTCCCCTGGCATGTCCCAAGTCATCTCAGACTACATCCATTAAGACAATGCATTCACCTCTGGGGTGAAGAATAGCTTATGTGTGTCCAGTGCATGTCTTACTAGAACCAGTATCTGGAGCCAACAGGCTTGAATTATATAGATATGTGTAGATGCTCACTGTATATATTTATAGTATATATAGTTTATGTGTATATATAAACATCTTGTGTAGATGCTCACTCTATACAGTGCGAGCATCTACACAAGACGTTTAGTGTGGAGCCGACTAATTAGCTCTGCAGTAAAATGTCACCATCTAAACGTGCAGTTCTATTAGGACAGAGAAAACTAATTAGCTCCACCATAGGATAGTAGTGCTAGACACAAGTACTATCCTATGGTGGAGTTCTGTACTCTGCTGCAATGCACATGTAAATGTTGACAGGGCTGGCTGGGCATGAGGGTGCTTCAGTGCAAGGGCAGCCTGCTGGCTAGTCCCACAATGAAGCACCCTCGTGCTCCATCCCAACCCTTTGTAGTATGTTCAGCTGGGTCAGGGCAGCTTTGGGCCGGCAGGCTGATCCCTGGGGCCCCCTGCCAGCCAGGGCTGCTTTGTCCCAGCTCATTGTGCTGCGGTCCCTGGCACATGTGCAAACGCAGCACCCAGGAGCAATAAACTCTGATACAAACTGCGCTGGAGTTTATTCAGCCACATTAATAGCATGTGTAAACACACCCTGTCTCTTCTACAATATAAATAGCTGTCACAATCGATTCTCCTATTGTTTCACATTCTTTCCCACACTTTGATTTTAACGAGAAAGGTAGTGAGCTTCTCTGATGGCCTCCACCAGTTTATCAGGATACCCTGGGGCAGGGCCCAAGGGCTAGAAGCCAGCAGGGTAACATTCCCAACTGTTCCCAGTCCTGCTGTTTCTGCCTCCATGCCCCCATGTTTGTAGCAAGACACATGTATGTGTGTGTGAAAGGATTTCAGCCTCTCCACCCTGAAGTTGTATCCAAACTATAAAGCCAACCAGCCTGACCTAAGTACTCTCTCTCTACAGAAGGTTCAGTGCCTGCTGGTGGGAAGCCCAGGACTGGGATAGCAGGTAGGGCTGTAGATCAGAACTTAGGTACATTGGGAGGGCTACGATGGGAGCTTAAAACTGGGATAGCAGAGGGGTCTCTGGGGTATGACGTAGGGTGGGAGGGTGGGATGTGGGAGGGTGCAGGGCAAATGAATCGCTCAGGAATGCAGTAGCAGGAGCTAATATAGAATGAGACTGAGGTACATAAGCAGACCTGTGGGAGGCATGGGGATGCCTGTGCAGTCCCTGCCTCTGGCTGAGTCCACTTGTCTCAGACATTCATGACCCCAAACCTTCAGTGGCTTCTAATCTCTCTGGTCTCGGCCAATGGCCTGCACATGAGGGTAGCATTTGCGGGCTAGGTACTCACATGGATACCTGTAGTAGAAATCATTCTCTATGTCGCTGGTGATGTTATTTTGTTTCTTCTCCTCCTCCTCCCAGCGTGCACTGGCTTCTGGAGTGAAGCGCACAAACACCCCAAAAAGGATAATCATAGCAACCTCCCAGAGGAGGCAGATGAGAGGCAGCCGCCATCGCATATTTGTGTTCTTTGCCATGGCAGGGCAGCTCAGCTCCCAGTAGAGAGAGCCCACTGGGTCTGGATAGAGTCCAGGCAGTGGGAACAGAACATATGAGCCCTGGTCCCTGGGGAAGCTCAGTTGGTTTATATAAAGTTGGAGATGTGAGGTGTGTCTTGGGGAGCTGCCCACTTTCAGTCCCCCAGGGCGGGATCACATTTTTTGTTGTTGTAGGAGGTTTAATTGACTAGAACTCTCTCTGCTCCTAGCCATGAGAAGGGAGGAGGAGGGGCACATCTCTAGCACCTTCTCACTACTCTGCTCAGGACACGTTATCAAACTCAGATACCTGCTCTGCAGATATAAAAACTGAGGCATCAAGCGAAAGGGTTATACCATGCATCAGAGTTGGGAACAGATCCCTTCAGTCCTCACTCCTGTCCTCCTGCCCCAGCCTAGACCCAATGCCCTCCCAGAGAAGAACCCAGGCACCCTGACTGCCAGCCCGCTGCCCCAGCCACTAGACCCCATTAATTTCCTACAGCAGTGATTCTCAACCAGGGTGCTGTGTCCTTGAGATCCTTTCAAGGATGATATGGGTGCCACACAATACTAGTAGGCGTGCAAGCATGATTCACAAGATGAACCCAGAGGTTTCAAAAAGGTACCCATCATAGCGTTAAAAATATTCTGATCAACTGTGGGCTTTCTGAGTTATTTGCAACAAAAAAATCTGCTGTATTATTTTTCTGTGGTCAAAAAGTGAAGAGCTGGCATTTTCCAAGGTGGGGTTCAAGTCTTAAATGGTTGAGAACCACTGTCCTAGGGGCAGGAACACAACCTTTGTGTCCTGATTTCTGGCCCTTCTGCCTAATCATTACACAGCATTCCCTCCCCCTGTATTGGTTCCATACAGCATGTCCCACTCACCAACCACACCTGGTCTTTGCCTTTTCAGAAGGGATTTGCCTCACTTTCCTCCTTCCCCTTCTCTGCCCCTACCCTGAAAAGCCGGTATCCCTCAAAAGGGAGCAGGGATGACCTTTCAGTTTACACTGGCCTGTGCCCAGCATAGCACTGGCTTCCCACTTGCCTGGCTTCCTTGCCAGAAGCCTCCTTCCCACAGGTTCTGTGACTCACGATAGGGCAGGCGGCCTAGTTAGAGACCCTCCCCATTGTGGGGACAGGAACAAAGGCAGGGAAGGGCAAGTGAAATCTGCCCCACCTTTGTTTTGAGGGTTGAAGTAATTCTTATTGGGTAATTGATCCTTTCCTAGAACTGGATGCCTTTGGTGATGCAGCATAGTATTAATCCTTCCCCACCCAGTTAAACTCAGTGAAGCACTTTTGCAAAGTACCAAAGGCTCCCAGAGGGCTGCCCTTGCTGAGGATCAAGCCAGGGCACACTTCTTTTATCTGATGTAGGTCATGCTATTCTGCCAGCAGAAAAGCTGACTTGGAGCATTATCTGGTCTTTCATACGGCAGGCTTGGTAGCAGGCTCTCCCTCTGATCTTCAGCCTCCTGGTGAAGCTGACTCCCAAAGAGAACAGCCCCCAGGAGGAAGAGGGTGACAGAGAGTGATGGGTATGAGCTTGACCTTGCTAACACTCTGAGATGGGTGAGAATGTGGCACGTCAAGCCAAAGGGCTACAAATGTACTGCACTGATCTGGATTTAGCAGCCTCGTGGCCATAAGGGAAGGGGGAAAAAGCAGCTCAGAGGCAGTCAGGCCTGGGCTCTGGAGATGACCTGTTGTTCCAAACTCTGCCTCTGAAGCAGGTTTCTCACCATTTAACATGTCACAGGAGGACACCACAGACAGCACCTGCCTGCCTGCATGCACCAAACCCAAACTGCAGCAGCAACCCCAGGAACCCCAGGGGCTGCTCTCAAGCACTTTGGAGGCCAGGGTCTCAAAAACAGCCACGGGGAAGTGATGCCAGAGCAGTTACATCACCACAGTTCTGGGTTTGGTGCCTGCAAATGAGAGAGGGAGGGGTGAGGGCAGGGTGTGCTCAAGGGCAAGTTCTTACAGTTCACTGCACAGTCCCAGAGTGAGTGAGAAGCTGTCCAGACCTTCACTGCTCCCTGCATTAGGCCCTCTTGGCAGTAGAAAGGTTTGGCAGACAACTAGGAACACGCACAAAATGCTGGGGAGAAGCTGAACTGTGGAGCCACACCTGCACTGGCCTTTGCTCCACCAAAATGCCCTTGGTCACTGCACCAACTGCATGTACCAACCTCTCTCTTGGAAAAGGAAGCCTGTGGGACCATCCCATGAGCAGTCCCAAGAGAAAGTGCAGATGCCAGCGCCATGAAATATGCATTGCACAGACATACACGAGTCTCATAGAGGGCTGCCTGCAGAAAGGGCATCTACGGGGAAGTGGAGCCAACACACACAAATTTCTAACTGAGCCCCTATCACTGCTTTCCTCTGCCCATTTTTTTCCCCTGCCCCTTTGCTCCTTTTGGGTCCCCACTGAATGACACATCTGAGCAATTCACATAACAGTATAGCTTCCACCCTTCTGCTGAGGCCATGTTCCTACCCTGTACTCAAGGTATCACATAAAGGCGGCTCTCCCTGGGGCTTCCTTTACTTTATTAAATTTAAATAACTACCATAAACCCCATACCAATTTTCCTTCTGTTTGGTTGCTCCCAGGTTCCAGCAGAACTCCTCTCTTCCTCCCCTTATTACTTTGTGCCTTAGAATAACAGTCAAAACCTTTTAGATACCTGGCAAGGAAATAATTAAACACAGCAGGTCTGACTGTGAGAAAACACAACATAGTGTCATCTGATATCTCAGCTAACTTACACAACAGGGGTAACTGATATGAATTCTTTACATTGCTGCTGAACTTAGTGACAAGTCTTCAAAATAAAGGGCAACTATAGACCACATTGACGTAGGTGGTGTCTAGACTTTTAACATGATGCATGGACTTGATAACACCACACATTTGAAGCAACCCCTTCAGACAGTGTCAGCACTCTTTATGGGGCTGCAGAGCCATTCTCACGTGCTACCGTGACCGTACAGCAGGGCTCTCCAACTGATGGGTGCAAGTTGCTAAATAGCAGCTTGTGGGGCTTGCCAGAGCTGCTAGAGTGGTGCAACTCCAAAACTCAGGGGGTGAATGCCATGCTGCTGGCACCTCCTGCTCCCTTGCCAATAGCTACATTCAGAAAATATCATTGGTCATCAGTGGTGACTACGTTGGGCAGCAGTGGAAAAGGGGGGCAACTGATAATGCATTCACTCCCTGGCTTCGAGCACAGCACCAATCAGCTATTGCACCACAAGAAGCCCCACATTGCCAATCTGGTCTGCAGGCCAAATGAGTTGGACACCCCTGCTGTAAAGTGTTGTCTCAATACAACTCCAAGTAGCATGTGGGATTGTTACTGTACAGTGCTGGAGTGTGTCTCATAAAAGAGACCAAGCCAAGCAGGCTTGTAAGTAGGATTGTTGCTCCTGCCCTCTGTGCTTTGCAAACTCCTGATGTGGCAGCCACCCTGCTGTATACTGCCAGCTCTGAACAGGAGGGACCAGCAACCAGTCCACGTTTTCAAGGCTGGCACAGGAATTGCTAATGTTGTTTAATTCTGGGCCTGAAGGCTGAGGTTGCACTGTAGTTTCTGCATTGATTGATCTGTTATTATTGCACACTTGCTCTCTTCTAAAGTGACAACCAACAGAAACTCCAGGCACCAGGGTAGGAAGTGGCCAGATGGCCAGACAGTCAGCCTGTGTCATTGGCAGCTCAGGAAGCCAGCAGGACAGGGACCTTTTGGACAATTTGGAGGCCCAGAGAACTTTGGTGCGTGACTGTGAGGAGCTGAAATGAGAGTTAAGGGACCCATCAGCCAATACAAAAGTATATTTGAGGGCTATCTGAATCCAGGGCAGCTGGTGACCAGAACATGGCTGCAGGGCAAGAGAACACAACCCTAAAGCCAGCAGGAAACTGCATCTGAACCAAGCTTCTCTGAGGAAATAAAGTGCATTTCACCTGCCCTGCACCTAAGTTGTTTGGCCTGTGCTCTGTACAAGAGAGATCTGGTCTCCTGTTTAGCTGTTGGTAAAGAGGCCATCAGAGCTAGGGCTGTAAACCACTTCTGCTAGCACCCTGCACGTGAAAGTTTCCTTGTGAATGTTCATTTAGCCAAAAACCTATTTTTCCATTGAGCACACAACATTTATTTTGTCTGCAGATTTTTTTTGAACTTTCTGTTGAAAGCCTTAGAATCAGAAAACTGAAATGTGAAGCTTGGGAGGTTTTAACATAAACATGAAGTTTTCCCAGAGCTGCTGGTGGTGGTAGTGGGGCTAAGCAGATTTAGCCTGGACACTTCCTTTAGTTGCTTGCACCCAGGACCTCATCTGACATGGTCTAGCTCAATCAATCACCCTTGAGCAGTGGCTGCCCTATAGCTGAGTTATCCAGAGGAAACTCCTTCATACTGTCTGCAGACCAGTGAGAAGGTCTGATCTGAATGGAGTTTTCTCAGTCGGGAAGATGTGGTTTCTACACAGAAAAGGACTGATGCTGAGGTAAGATCCCCACCAAATTACTGTCCATTCCCAGCTCACTCACCAGCCTGGCAGGCTGTACACCTCTCTAGCAGAGCCAGGGGAGGCTCCAAGGGTAACAGCCCTGTGGAGTGAGAAGGCCAAAGAATGGGGGAAGAATAACAATCAGGAGGCAGGACAATCCACAAACTTGCATTCAAGCAAGGGCTCATAGCCCCTTCCCATCCCTTGAAGTGTGAATCCCAGATCATGCCTTAAGACCCTGACCCCAGAATGAGACTCATCGGAGTCACTTTGTCTGCTGGCTCCAGAGGAACCCATTTGTGGTTCTGCTCCCCAAAGGAGGCAGGTGGCTGGGCAAATGAGGCCAATCTGGTTTGGCTGAAACTCTGTGCTACATCTCTTCTCAGATCATTTGCTAACAGGTTTCCAGGCTCGGACCCCAGCTTCTTCACCATCCTGCTGCAGAGATCTTGGCATCGGGCATCAGCAGTGACCATGGCTTGTCGTGGCTCCACCAGTGGGATTGGCTCAGCAGTCAGAACGCAGCATTTTCCCCCATATTTGTGCT